TGAATTGTGTTTTTCCATTGCTTGAATAGAGTTATTGAAAAGAGAAAGTTGACCATGAATAAACCATAAGTAAATTTCTCCTCGCTTGTCAATATAAGTTTACAATTATAAGTTTTGGGCAAAAATCTTGGCTGCAGAAGTAAGTTTTTAGATCTTCAAAAATTAACATTATTATTTCAATTGCTGGTAAAGAGAAAAGAAATCGTGTGCTACCATGTAGTAATACCTTTTTGTATTCCACTTCTGCGAATTCAAAAAACTCTTTAAGCTTAGTTACACGTACAGTATAAATGTGAAAATATTTGTATATTTTTACAACTAGGCCCTCAATTTCGATAGGTAGTATATCAACTGCTGTTCGAATAAAATTATAATTTTTGTGTGCACTACAACCAGTTCCATTGATTTCTCTGTAATTCATTCTTTAAACGAGTAAAAACATTATTGTTCTCTCTTCTTTTGACTCCACCAAAGTTGTTCCCAAAAAAACCAACAATTTTTTTATCCAAGTTGTGTTTCTTCAAAACTAACATTATATGGTATGTAAGTATTTTAGCTGTTTCTCCTTGGATTGACTTAAATTCTAAAAGCTTAACTTTTATTCCGAATTCTGGTAGAAAGTAACGTATAAGTTTTATATTTTTTCTGTTTGAAGCATCAATACTTACGGTAATAAAGTTGCATTCTTTTAAATTTTGATGAAGCTCACCGAGTGTTAGAGGAGCTAGGATATTTAAAACAATAGCCTCACACTTTGTTTTACAGAGGGTAAACTTAGGCTCAAAAAATTTAGAGTTACAAGTATTAGAATTAAAGCTAAGATTATAGTTTACAGTGTGGTAAGCGAAAGTTGACTTTTTGGCCGCCAAATCTAACTCTTTGTTGTGTGGATCAGAACTCTTGAAATATGAAGTTAATTTCGAAGAACCAGCAGAAACCAACAAACTATTTTTATGTCTTCTTGATTTTAAGTGATCTTTTATATCGGCTTACCCTCCATGAGCTATTGAAAATTCTGAACCACAAGAAGAACATTTTATTCGATTATCTTGACGACATACTTTTTTAGATTCTGAGTGAAGCGAAGGATCTTATAGTTTTACAATGATGTTTTTTTTTATTTTTTTTCTTCTGCTTCTTCTATTCTGTAAACACTTTTTTGTATAGAAATCCTGGTCCAAAAGTTTCGTCCAACAAATTTTAGATATGAAATTGGATTAGGGTAGTACTTTAGAAAGGTCATTTTTGGAATTTTTGAATATTTATTCCGGTAGAGGGGAAAAACCGAGAAAAAAAACGGGCAAATACGGTAAAAATGTGCCGTAACCGGGACTTTCACTTTTCACACTTTAGTCATTTAGTTATAACTCTAAAAGTAATAAGGATAGGAACTTGAAAATTTTATCATATATCAATGACATACTTCTTCATATATCACTACATTTTTAAAATGATTTGGGCACTTTTGGTCTAAATATAGAACTTTGAAATTTCCTAATTCATGAATGTTTTTATGTAATACAATTTTTAATATTTTATAGAAATTTCTGAAAATTTAATATGACTTTACTCATAGGGTAAACTAACGATAATGAAAAAAATTCAAAAAATCGTTAATCAGGATATTTTTTTTTTTATAAGCGTTTAAGTAAATTATTATAGGATTTTTACGGAATACTGTTTTTAAGTACTTTTTAAACTTAAGTATTATGAATATTGAGCTTAAGGATATATAATGATTTGGGATAGTTTTCGTGTATCGCAGCCTGCAATCTAGTTACGCAATACCAATGATATATTTACGGCAACGTGAGTGTTAATTGAATAAAAAAATAAAACACAATTCGTTTGTCTTTATTAACACAGGAAAAACTTGAAATATTGTATGAGATACTGTATGTAATATTCGGTTTGTTTTAAATTCGTATTTATTCGTACAATAAAAATAACCTATATGACATGCAATAATCAACGTGACCTTAACCGCATTTTATATACCTAAAAATAATTTTGATGGATAAAATAATTTTTTGTGTGGTGTTCAGATTCACTATCTGCATAATACTGTTTTTAATTATTTTAATACATATTAGATGACTACGCTTTTTTTCTTTGTATTATTATACTTATAAAAACGCTCTATATATTTCTTGTCGACACTAGTAAACAGTATTTCGAACATCAAACTGAGTGCTGAGTAAACACGTAGTAAATTGCCATAGGATTACTATATATTATACTTTATTTTCTCTCTTCCGACCACCCCGGTCAAGTCACCCCGACTTGAGGTGGATCCACCGAGACCGCCATATAATATCTTGGCTTCACGACAGAACACGTACGTACATGGCACAACGGTAGACCGTGTAATTTACGATAATTTCCTTCTTTCTTCAGGTTCAGCAGTTCAGCGTTTTATTCTATAAACCAGTATTTGATGATTTAGTTAATTCGTTGAATTCCCCCAGTTTAATAAGCATTTAATTAATCTATGTTTGGATATATTTAATGTTTTAATTCACTGAAATATCGGAATATTTATTAATAAAGGTTTTTGTATCAGTTTTATTAGTTTTCCTTCTAACAGTAAAATTATTATGAGAATTACATCGAACACATTTCCAATATTTATTATCATTTAGTAAAAATATGAATTAGAATAAATGTTTTGTTAAATTTTAAATTTGATAATACCTATATTTAATTTAAAACAATTAATATTTAAGTTTAAGTATGAATTAATATTTTTAATTTTGTAAGTTTTAAATGTCATGTTATTGTCGAATAATTTTTACACTTCTTAAATATTTTACATATTAATAATTTTTTTTAAATAATATATATACGATCTACACATTTTTTATTTTCAAAGATGAATTTTTTATAAGTTGGTGTTTTTTAATCCACGTTCATAAATTTTAATTTAAGGTGTTTTTACAAATTTTCAAACAATGAGGAATTTTTCTTCAAAAATACCAAGCATGCAGTTTACAATTTCAAGAAATTTTTTTTGATGGAGATTTAAATGCATTTGTTTTAAATTTTTTATCATTATCATTATTTGAAAAAGTTATTATAAATAGGGGAACACGGGGTAGAATGGGGAACTTAATGTTCAACATCAATTTTACAGTAATCTACTTAACGTAAAACTCCCAATTCTCAATCAATAAATGATTAGCAGTATAAATATCAATTCACATCAATAATCAAATAAATAACTCAAATATATTTTACTTTATTACCAACAAAAAATAATTAATTTAATAATTAATTAATTTTTATTACCAAAACCTGTCCATTATCAAATTCAATTTACAATAATAACAATTAAATACAAATAATTAAAAAATAATAAATGCTAGTTCGATTTCGCATTGATTTTAGGAGCCTATGTCAAATATAAAATTACAAAATTTCGATGAATTTACTTTTGAATTCTAACTAGTAAAAAAGATAATATTATGTGATATTAGTTCAAGAAATATTTGTAATCGCAAATCACATGGTTGTTATGTATCATTTTAAATGTTATTATTATCTTAACTACTGTTCATTTTCACTTAAATTTGTGTAAAAATAATTATAAGTTATATCATAAAAACAGTAAATAGTATGTTATTTATTTTGCTATATTAAATGAATCTAACATAGGTTTAGACAAATATTTGAACAATTTATACGTTAAATTATTTAGTAACTATAAATACAATTATAACTTAAATAAGAATTAAATTTGTTATTAATTATTAATATATTCCATCCATTCAAATAGATCTATTTAATGTAGCGAAATAAATAATTAATAATGTGTTTGTGATTCCATTACATACGAACGAATTCATAAACGCATTGTAATATGTAATGGCTAGTAAACGAAAAATATTCAAATTTTGTCAAAAAAAAAAAAACAAGCTAAAGTAATTAATTTTTTAAATTTTTTTTACTTATATTTTCATTAAGTTTTACATAAATAATATATCATAATTTGAATTAATAATATGCACAGTTAATATTTGCATTAAAATAACACAAGTATACAAATATCATTATTATAAATATTATGTAAATAATAAATGTTGTTCATATGTACAAGTATGTATATATGATATATAATATATATATATATATAATATATATATAATAATAATAACTATGGTTATTAACTTCTTCGAGGTATTTTTGATAACTCCCCCCTCCCCCTCTCAATAGTGGACACTTCTTAATAATGGACAAAATTACGACGATCGAGAGCGTCTGGTATTTAAAGATTTCACTGCATATGTAACTATATATATTTTACATATATTACAACTATTTCGAGAACAATTCGTATTTCAATATAAACGTTAGCTTTAATATTAGTAGATGTGCAGATAATAATCATTAATGCCTAAAATCTAATGTAATGATTTAACAGTTTGCTAGATAAACTATACGAAAACGTGTGAATTATGATTATAACGCATAGGCATATGGAATTTCAATTAATTGTATAAAATACGTTTAAAAGCCGGGACCTTGGCACTTTCGCGGGGAGTTGGCTTTTCTCAATTGTTTTATTTACAAAAGTCACAATATTATTATGATCTCTTCGCGTTGTTACGCAAATCTTCGTTGCTATGATTATTAATACGATGGTTTCTTGGTTATTGGAAAACAAGAATCGATCACTTCTTCGTCTCGTTTTTTCGATTACTTTTCGATGCGGTTTACATTTTCTTGTTGAACAGTAAAATTGAATTTCGGACCCAGTAAAACAGGCTTCGAGTCGGTGGTTCGAGGAGAAAACCGCGGAGGTTCAATTCGTCTTTCGGACGGCAGTAAGTTCTGTCGAATTTCCAATTTCTTTTCTCATAAGTGGTGATCCTTGACGGTTTTAACAATAAATATACCGCACAAACGGACGCTACGAATACTATGAATACTATGTAACATTATCACGACGTACAGATTCGTTTTCACTGACGCCGTACGTTTCGCGATCCGCTGAGCACGGTATGAACGTGACGGGCATGAGTTCGACTGCTGCGCGTGCGTCTGCTCCGAGCCGTGGACGTCAACCGGCTGCTGGCCCCGGTCAGAGGACCCGACCGCCCTTTCTGGAAGCGGATCGTTGCGAGGTGTGCGACGTGCGCACCCTAACCAAGATCGGCAAGTGGAGGCACGTACACCGCGAGCACCGTGGCGACTCGCGCCTGACGTGCCATGACTTCGCTTGTGGCCGGCGGTTCACGAACTCTTACGCAAGGCTCGTGCACGAACGGGTGCACCATGCGCGATCCGCCGCCCGCGGCAACGGCCGCGTTGCGTACACGTGCGAGCTGTGCGGGACCTACCGCCACGGCCGCAACTCGTTGGCCGCCCACGTGGCCGCTGCCCATCCGGCCGCGATGTCCGCGCTGTGCGGCATCTGCGCCGTGTACATGGGCGACGCGGAGTCGCTGACGCTTCACGTGCGCCACGTCCACCGCCGGGACACGATGGCGACGGGGCACGGTTTGCGGTGCGACTTGTGCGGCGAACGGTGCCGCGACCCGAAGCGATTGCGGTCGCACAGGCGCGTGCACGGCGTCCGGGACATGGTGCACCGTGAGCACATGCTGTGCGACCTATCTTCCGTGGTCATATGGTAGACGGCGCGGATCATTTTTATTATTTTTGATTTTTTTTTTTCTTCGTTTTTTTCCGTTCGACTTTTTTTTCATATTTTTTTTCAAAATTTTTTCAAAATTTCACTCGATTCTGATATTAGAGCCATGTATACATTCGTATACGTGCGTAATATTATCATGTATTTTGACGTTTTCATATGTAACACAATGTACAGTTTAAATTTTACTAAACATTTGCGTCATCGTCGAAATTGTTTTTGAATTACGCGTCTAAAACTTAAAATTAAATTTGCATTTGCTAAATGTTCAAACCAAAACACTGACGGAGATTTAACGACGAATGCAATTTGAAAGCTGTCACATCGTCAGTACTCTCTAATATGCAGTGAAAACTGTCTGAGAAATACCGTTTTCGGTTTAAAATAATGTAAAACGTTTGTATTTTATTCGAAAAATAAACAACCAGTGTTCCTACTTTTATCTTTTATGTTGAGTACTTGCGCATTGCGTGAAATGTCGTTAAGCTAGCATACACGATCCAGTTTACCGGGAAGGTCGAGTTGCGCAGTTGATGAAGTTTTCTGGGACTGTACGGACGGCCGGAAAAGTATCGAAAAACGAACAAACAACCGGTGCGTGTGTGCCCGTGTTTCGTGTTATCGTACGACCAGTGAAAATACAGTTTATAAATATTTGTTTTTGTACATTTTTATTATTATTATCTTAAACATTATACATAAAACTAACTAGTTACTTATGTGTATTCTTGAAATCTTTATCACAAATATTGAATAGTATTTAGTTATAGCTATTAATAATATAAAACAATATATTATAAAATCTTATTATATTTGAATATTATGACTTTATATCATCGTCGTAGTTTTGAAGCGAAATAACTAGTGAAAAATAATTATGTTTGATATTTAAAAAAATTACTGCAGTTGACACTCAAATAGTTTGATGTCTTTGAAGTCTGATTTCTTTAATAAAAATAACAGCGTAACCCTGTTATTACACAATGCAAATCTTAGATGCAATTTGTCTCTATTTAAAGTAATTTAATAGAGATTTAATTATTTTGAAGTTATTTTTGATTGGTTAAGATCTCATTTTGCAAAATGATACAACTTGATGTTTCAAAATTATCCTGAAGCTCTTTTATCGTAACTGACCATAAAATATATCTTAGATATAAGTTTTTCTCGTTTTTACAGCGTTTAATACTGTATATACATATATAAACACATATTGATATAATAGTAGTAGTAAAATAAATTGAAACTATTTAAGAAAAATATACGAGATACAAGGAAAAAATATTTATTGGAATTAATATACCACAATATAATTAAAAAATATTTAATTATTTATTCAGTGTAATTTATTAAGTATACCAACACGTTTTGTTAAAATATAGCCCAAAAGTATTGTAGGAACATTCCTTAAAGACAGATTTACGTATGCCTATGTGTAAGATGTTCAATTGACATTGATGGGAGATAGACTGTTCATCATAGGTGAAAATGTTAGAATGGGTGAAAGTCTTGATTGTACTTATATTATTATATTTTATTTATTTTTTTTAAGCTAGAGCAATTATATTTTTTTTATTTTAAGCTTTTAGATTGTTATTGCATTATTAATATATTTGTTAAATACGTCTATATTATACAATTTATTTATAAATTATACAGTATTATCGGTATTTTATTATTTTATTGAAATTTCTCAAGAAGTTATGATTCTATATAATAGATCGATTATTTGAGACACCAAGGCGTTGTTTATAATGACATACGATTGAGATATGCATGGAGTAATTTTAAAATATTTTAAGTTGTGTGAATCGTCAAGTTTGACTTTTGTATATATGTAGCTATGGTATGTTAAATAGATGTCTTATAAGTGACATAATTACGGTACAAATACGGTTCCAATGATGTTATTCATATACTTATAAAATGCAATTTGTGATGTTCCCTGTTTCATCGAAACAATCCAACAACGTTTGTCGTACAAACTAATGCACAGTCGGCGTACTTCTTATAGTTGCATCCCCTTGACACGGAGTTCCTAAAGTGGAAAATTAATGGCACGATGATTTTGTTTCTGACCACTTGGTCCTAAAAGCTTTTCTAGTTTGAGTCATCATTATTTTTATTTTTGTTGACGAGAACTGAATGTGCAGGTGGATGGTAAATAAATAAAAATGTCAAGCACATTTTTCGCTTGATTCATACTGCGAGGAAAACATCAGATGGACCAAGGAGATCCACGAACGTTCTTCGAAACACATTATGGGTTTACTGATTTGTGACGTTAGTGACAATTATGCCTTTGGAAAATAAAATTTGACACCCTCTCCCTACTGATATATTTCAGAATAAAATGAAAATTTTAATACCTATCTAAAATAAAACACTGAATTTTTCTTTCTGTGGTTAATTTTTATAACGCCACCTGAATTCATAATACTTTGGATGAACTAAAGAACTTGCCCTTTTGTCACCTCTCCCTTGAGACGGCTATAGATAGTGTGATGATAATTCTATCATATAATTTCAATATGCCTTGTTAATTTTCTGTTCAAACGTTTCAACGATCCTCACGAAATTGCGTTCATGTTTAGCATTCGTGTACGAAAATACCTAAATATATCAACACATTGTAGTATAGATAGTGATGATCTTTTAATATTTATTCTTGGGATAGGATATTTAATTATTAATCACTATATCTAACAAAACTTACATATTTGGTTGTATTATCGAACAGATTTCTATCAAGACAAATGAAATAAAAATAAAATATTTACTTACTTCTGTCATACTTTTAGAATTTTGAAACAACTATAAAATACAACACAAATCTTCTGCTTGAAAAATAATTTTTTTGAAAAAAAAAAAGGAAGCTTATAAAAGATTTTATCACTTATAATTCCTCTTCAGCTCCAACTATGACATTGTGTAGACGGGTAATGTTAAACCGGTCTCTTTGTATTTTCGCGTATATTAACTCTATGATCACCGAATTCATTTATAATTAAAAATGCATATTAGAGTTATATATATATATATATAATATACACATATAGTAATACTCGTTGAGTTTATAGTAACTTATAATATATGTTTATTATATGCCCATAAATTATGACTTTCATGAAAATTTGAATCCCTGTTGATATACTTCACTTTAGCGAAATAATGCGATTATGATTTGATGGGCGATATTTTTTCAAATTAGTACAACCCTGCAGTACCATTGTTCATCGTTCACTCTATTTACAGATCACGAATATTTCAATAAAATTGTTACAATTATTTTGTTTAAAAAGACAAATTTCCTTCAAAGTATATAGGATAGATTTTTAAATATGACTTTCTTAGTTATATCTCAAGAGCTAGCTTTAAGACTTAAAATTTGACTCGTATTGATCTTTTTATTAAATTGCAAGGGTTGTTATTCTTGAGTATTATTATGTAAATTATGTCTATACTTTCCTCACAAAAATCTCTTTTTTCTCTCGTTTTTTTCTCTAGAGTTTTATGATGAACGATTTCACCATTTTCCCGTATAAATCCATCCAAATTAGAAAATGGAAATTCATTGATTTATATATGAAAAATGTATTAAATTATTCTTCGATAACCTTTTTTTCAAGCTACTTCTATGTTACTCCAAGGAACAAAATTGTGGTAATTAAATACAACTTCACTTTGAATATAGACGATTGAAATAAAATGCAACTATCATTTTTGTTGTGCCTCAGTGAAATAATAAATAAAATGGTTTTTATTGTGTGCACCAATTTTATATTTGTCGTTAAGTTAATATGTTTGCTTAAAATTGGTTTAACATTGATGACAAAAATGCGAATTAAATTTAAACATTGAATAATACTGGAGTATGTAAATCACAAATTAATTTAACACCAAACAATTAAGGATCGCCAAACGATTCGATTTTTAATCAGCTCGGGTAGTTACAACATTATAGTTCTTAATTATAGAAATATATTAGGAAAGTATTAATAAACTTACACTGCGGTCCTTGATATAAATGGGTTGTCGAAGTTTTGTTGCTATACCAACGTTCAATTCGATGTTGGAGATTATTCGTGTTTGATGGTCGTTACAGTCAGTTATCGTCAATTAGAATAGTTCTTAATACTGTAGAGACAAAAAAAGGAAATTGCATTGTGGTACGGTAATTTACAGATAACACTATTGCAACTACTCAATATATTACAGTGAAGGTGTATGACAGATTACGAAAATACCTATTTCATACTTGTTGAGTTTTAGGATTATGTTGTAGACATAGTCACAAATCTCGGGAGTACTTAGTGTGCTTAACAAAATTATCACCCTCCAATATATTCTATGAATAAATATTATAATTCATAATATATTATATCGTTTTTAATACTTAAAACGCTTTAAATTATTATTTACGTTTGCTATTTTTAGTAATTCTGGTACTGATAGTTCATCAAGTATAAACGATGAATTAGAACAATAGATATGCCAGAATTATTGGTACAGTAATTATAAAAGAGTTTTCTGAATAATTTTAAGTACTCGCGTTAGCAATAGAAAGCTTTTATATCTAAATTATGAAAAATCATTACATATCATTAACATTTATGAGGTAATTTTCTTATTGATTATTTTTTTTTTTAGTGAATGATGGTGATTATTAAATTGTTTTATGTACATATATTTTGACTCTATTTTCAATTGACAAGAATGCATTATTCTCTGAAATGATTGTTGCTAAGAACGCTTGGAATATTTAATACAAATCATTGAAAAAGATATTTATCTACATTTCTACACATTGTTTAAAGTTGCATTAGTTTGGCTATTTTATTTTTTTTTTTTTGTGTGAGCATAGTTTTTCAACCATATGCCGTATTAAGACTTTAAAGAAAATTATTGTGGGGCACAATAAATTAATTGATTTAGCCATTATTTTTATAGAAAATTACCTAAAAGTAGGAACTGAAGTTCTTT